TGATGCCTCCGGAGCGCTGCTCGGTGGAACCGTCGGGTAAAGGCTGTATTTAGCCTTTGAAGGACCCTGAGTTGCTGTGACTAAACTCCCTCTCTGATTTTGCGTCGGCGAACCTCCCAGGTTTTGGGCCTCCGCGGCTGGGCGCCGGTCCAAGGGTCTACTGCCGGGGTCTGCGGTGGAAGAAGGGTTCATCCCTTTCCCTACACTGCTAACCGAGATAGCTTCCGGTTTGGCCGGTTCCAGTACGCGGAGATGGCCGCTGAGCTCCGGGGGGAAGAAGATGGGGGGAGGAGCACTTTCAGCAACAGACTTCTTGCGCCGACGGAAGAAGGAAGACTTCTTGGTCACCACCTGGTGCGTTCCTCCTTCGCGGTGCGAGTTGATTCCTGCTGCACTATTCTTCAATGGCTGTCTCCAGCTCTTGGCGTTCGGCCCAAATCCGCTGGGATCCTTGTGGTCGTTTTCTTGGGCAAAGACGTGGTCGGAAGGATGGTACTCGCTTGAAATGGCGGTCGACACCTTTGAGGAGCCAAACACACGCCGGAAGAACCCTGGCCGTTCCTTGGCTGCTGGAGCGGGGTCGGGTGGCGCGGGGAAGATCGGCTTGTTGAAGGAAATGGTTGGGCTCGGCGCGGGCGGGTCGAGCGATGCAGGGATCGTCGGCGGAAGTTCGAGTCCGCTCTCCCCGAGGTTGGCCAGATCTGAATGATGACTCCGGATCGTCGCCGTGCCCAGATTTTCCGGTCGAGTCTTTCGACTGTCGTTCGACCGCGGAGATTTGACACTGTTCCGGCGCGATGCCACAGGTGTCGTCCTTGACTGCTGGGGGTTAGAGGTGCCTGCAAATTCAGCCTGCGGAGACGAGTGGAATTTACTTGGTCCACCGGGGACGCTTGGAGTCGGCGCTGCATCAAGCCCTCCATACGATGAGGAGTCCAAGTCAAAGACGAGATCCGGAAATGAGATGAATGGCTGTCTCGTGCCGAAGTCTAAGCTCGCAGAACGCCTCTCGCCGGCCGCTTCCAGTCGTCCCGTTTGCATTGAAGTAAGATCCGTGGAGGGCGAGGAACTGCCTCGATTTCCATTCCGAGAAGCTCGGGTATTCGCTGGGGGGGCAATGTTCGAATTGATCCTATAATCGTAAAGTTGACCACGGGAGCCGGTTCCTTCGCGACTGCGAGTGCTGCCGTATCTTCGTAGGCTGGTATGATAGTTCGAGCTGCTGTTGCTTCGACGGCTTCTCGCCGGCTGTGTTGCATAACGGCCAGTGCTCTCATCATACGTGCATTCTACCTCCGAGGACACGGAGGAAGAGAACGTGTGGCCACGATAGCGGCGTTGCGCGATCGACTCTGGCGAACCGTTGCCGCACAAGTCAGTCTCAAACACCGAATTGAATAAGCGATAATCATCCAGCAGAGAGCCCGAAGCAAACTGATCCAACGACAGGAGCATGTTATCCACAATTGAGGTGCGGGCCGCATGTTTCGGCGATAGCGACAAATCATGTGGGTCGCGCTCGTCGCCCGATTCATTGCTGTCGTTGGCATTATCAGCTGGATTGAAGTCGTCCAGAAAGGTCTCCCGCACGGAAGGTCTCGGGTGGGTTCCCCTTCTCGCGGCTATGCGGTCGCTTGGTTCGAACGGAGGGGTTTGAGGGGGTGAACTGCTTGCGTGCTGCGGAGGCATTGTGCGACTATCGAAAAGAGAGGTTCTGTTCATCGAAGAAGACTTCTGCGAATGGCCGGGGTTCGTGGCATTAATGCGAAGCGAGCGACGGGGGCTAAAAAGAACGTAAAGAGGAAGGGAAAAGAGAAGACAAGAGATCAGAAAGAGCAGGACCTGTGCCCAGTCGTGGAAGCGAGACAGAGCGTCCGTTTTGGAGCAATTGGTCGGTGGATTATTGAGCGTCACCGTTCGCCTTAGAGGGGCTTAGAAGCTCTGATCCTTCTCCTGATTTCAAGAATGTGCCGGGAACCAATTCGCGGACATTAGATAAGCGGCATAAAAATGGCCGTCGCCGTCATCGAAGCACAGTGTAGGTCAGAGTTCACCAACAGCTAAACATCGTGCGAGAGGTGGAAAGAGAAGTGAATTGGTGGTGTTAGGGGGGAGGGTAGGGGGGAGGGGCCGAGTGCTGCAATTGGAGTGCGTGATGACTGAAAGCGAGCTATATCGATCCTGCTATCTTCCTTCAGTCATCAGTCAGGGTGAAAGAATGAGGGATCGATCGATGTGGATTTGGAGAGACGGGGGCGGGAAGAAAGAGGGTGTTTCATGGATCAGGGAGAAAGTGGATGGATGACAGGCAATAGGTCGAGGAAACGGAGACCGCGATCAAGACGACCCAAGGGATATGGAAAGTCAAACAAAGGTCAAGACATGAGTGGGTGTGGGGGTGGAGAGAGCGAACTGGCCACGAGGATCGCGAACGCTGGAGGGAAGGGGAGGAAAGGATAAATGGGGAGGAAAGTGAACAGAACAAAACAGAACAGTACCTCGTAAGCTACATCGACTGCATGTTAATGCATGCGCCAGCGTCTCAATCAAACACTGGAAATTGTAGTCGACATGGGATAATCAGGTGAGGGACACAGCATGCTCGATCATTTGAAAGAGTCAGGGACCCTGGCAAGATGGAGGGAGAGGAAGAAGGAAGAATCAATACAACAAACAACAAGAAGAATAATTGGAATAGTGTTGGATCTAAAGACCCCTCTAGCTTAGCGGTTCCAGTTCAGGGGCCACTTAATCGACGGCTGCAGGCACCGGTTCATGATTTGCAAAGTACTGTAAGGAGTAAGTTACTACCCCCGTAGTCCACTAAACTAAGTTAACTTCACAGTAAACTATGGAAGTGATACGTCCCACCTGCTCCGGGAGTCACCATCAGTCTGATCTTTCTTCGATTCCCTAACCGTTAAAATCTGTATCATAGTAGAGGTCCAGTCTATAGAGGACCTAGTGTACTGTCCGGAGTACTGTAGGTGTAGTATGCAGTAAGTTATCACTTAACGCTGAGTACGGAGAGTCGGTACAGTTCATGTACATGTACTGTACTAGACAGTAAGTTACGGAGGACTTCCTAACGGGTCCAAATTCCTCCGCGGCAAGAAGACCCCAGATCAGATGATGACATAACATCCCATGCGTTGTTTCCACTGTCACCATCATCATCATCATCTTCTTCTTCTTCTTCTTCTTCTTCTTCTTCTTCTTCTTCTTCTTTTCCTCCTCCTCTCCCTTCTACCTCTTCCTCTTCATCCTTATCCTCCTCCTTCTCCACCCGTAAATCTGCTGTGACTTAATTAGCTTCGCCTCTGGAGCTCGTCACACGTTCAATTTGCATGAGTCTCATTCCCCTTACGTGGTGCTGTCCCGCGACTTGGGACCTCCCCTTCCCTTCGTCCACTTTCTGAAAGATGAACCCTCATATATCTGTTCCCCGCCAACATGCCAGTTCATTGAATTTCGGCGGCACAACGCCTGCCAGCCGTAGATCCAATATACGGATGCCGCGCTTTTTCAAAAGGTAGGCATTTCAATTCGGACTCGGAGCCTTCGGTACGCGGCGTATAGCCCGGCGTGGAGCTTCCAGGACGATCTTTATCGACATCCTCGGCCCATCACTGATCGTACCCCTCCCTTCTTCGTTGTGGGTTAGGCTATTCAAGTTCCCGCAGATGGATTTCGAGATGGCAATTTGGGAGATGACCTCTCTGTTGATTGCGCCTAAGAAAGTCTTCAAGTCAATATACTATCATGTGCGTTATTCCTGTTCCCAGACAACAGGAAATGTTGATTGTTTACTGACGCCTTGTCTGGCTCAAAGAAACGTAGGTTGTCACGAGTATTCGTATTCTGCATAGCCGATCAGGTTGCCGGGGGGAGGAACTGACCCATTTCCAGAAACGAAGAATACCTGGCATCGCCCGGATCCCTCTTTCACCTACCTGCTCTCCTTCTTCCTTCTTCTCACAGCCCTCGCGTGGGGCCTCGCCTATGCGCCGTCGTTTGGATCCATTGTTCGGCTGTCTCTGATTTTCATCTTCGTTCATTTCATCGGGTCCTCGCTTCTGGTCTCGACGTTGGGATATCTCATGATTCCCCGCCTGTTCGGCCCTGACGGCGCCGCAGTCTCCCTCACGGGATTTCGAGGTAGTCGTGGTCGGCGGCGTGGCGCGGCGCAGGGCTTGTTCACGCAGCCCGGCGAAAAGGACCAGCTGGAGTTTGGCTACTGCTTTGATGTAAGTCACTTCAACCTGTCTCAGGGCCCAGGATTTCGAGCAGGGAAACTAAATCTCGCATATCTTAGGTATCGAACCGGGCATACTTTCCCCTTTATCTACATCTTTATGTAGTGCAGTTTCTTCTTCTGCCACTGCTCACCCGCAGTCCAAGCAATTTCCTGGCTACGTTCCTCGGCAACACACTTTACTTGTCCGCACTGACATATTACACCTATATCACGTTCTTGGGATACAATGCCCTTCCTTTCTTGCACAACACCGAACTACTCTTGCTTCCTATCCTGGCATTTGCGATCTTGTGGCTTGTTAGCCTAGTCGCCGGATGGAGTCTGGTCATGCAAGGCCGGATCCTGGAGGTCTTGGTCTGGGGCGCATAAGCACTGCCTTTTGCTCGGGCTGGTGCTCGAGCTGCTCTTCCTCGAGAGCATCTCCTCTTCATGACCATAGTTGCAACGTATGTAAGTCTTTCAAATTCTTCTGCTCAGCGCTGGCATATATGTCATCTTGTGTTGGTGCTGCAACCACTCGGTCAGTCATGGATCGCTGATTTATGATAACATCTTTCGCCTGCTCTTTTTAAAGAGGAGAGCCCGGATTTCATCCTGAAGGATTTGCAGGGTATTTTGTCTGATACCTAGTCCTAATGGATGTGCACATCCGTCGTCCCACCTCTTAGTAGAGGTGTGGCGAAAATAGAAGTACTATCGTACTGGACAGTACATCTCCTGAATAGGTATAATGCATGGTTTTATGTCACGTGTGTAGCTCTATATTTCTACCAAGGATTTGATAAAGGAGACTAGAAGGGGAAGTAAGGCCAATCATGATTCCAAAACCTATACAAAATCAATGTAAATGACGTGCACCAGCGGCAGCGGGAAGTAAAACCAAATTGGAGATGTCTATTGCGTAGCGTTTACTTTCTCTTTGGCGCACCTTTCTTCTTCCCACCCTTGGCAGCTTGCAACTTGGCATCTCGTTCGGCGGCGCGCTGCTTCGCGAGCTCGACCTTCTCCTCTTTCTCGGCTTCCTTGCGCAGCCGATCGGCCTCACGCTGTTCGCGAACGATCGCCAAGCGGGCCAAGTCGGAGCGAGCCTCCTCTGTCTTACCCTCGGCGTGAAGCTTCAAGTAGCGTTGTCGCGCCTGATGAGCCTCGATCGCCTCACGCTCCCGCCGCGACAACTGCGATAAATCGCCTTGCGGCTCTTGCGCGTCTTCCTGGTTGTCGCTGAGCTGGGAGCGTGATTTGGCCGTGTGGTTGGGATTGGCTGGTAGGTCGTCGTCATCGTCGTCGGTATCGTTGCCTGATTCGTCTGAGTTCGAAGGGGGCAGGTCACCCGGTTGAGCGGCGGTGTGCATCCGGCGAGCCTGGGCAGCCTGCTTTTTCGCTTTGGCGGCCGCACGCCGCTCCTCACGCGTCATTTCGTTCGTACCGCTGCTGCTCGCAACAGGTATGGAAGACGGACCGGGTCTGGCGTTGTTGGAAGGTTCATCATCATCATTGTCGGATGACTCTTCGGAGCCTGATTCGGAAGATTCCTCTTCCTCGGCAGAAGAGAGATTGTTCTCCTCGGGATCCTGTGATGTGGTCTCGGAATTAGTGGAGATGGGATTTGGAGTAGGTTACAACAGGAGGGGGGTTCGAATAGGACATTCAGGGGTGCGGTCGAGTCCAGGTAGACTAGGATAGTCCGGGAAAAAAAGAGAAAAGGCATACGAACCCTCCAAAGGCCAACAGGATTTCCATCTTTATCAATGGGTTGAACATCACGACTGAAATGTTTTCCACCTGTTCGATGTGTGCGCAGGAAAATTGCACCGGGTCAGTCGCGGCCAATATCCTTCTCTTGTGGTGTGATGCTGATGAGGGAAAGTCCGCTTCATTCGCTCTCAAAATTTGGTGTCTAGCTTTTGCACGTACCTCCTCGCGAAGGTTTGGAAAACTTTCCGCGACCGCGGGGTGCCATGGTGAATGGAGAATAAAGAAGGGAGTTGTTGTGCGTTGCGCTGTTATGGGAGAGGAGGAGCGGTGGCGGTGGTGGCAGGGAAGGAAGAGAGAGAGAGAGAGAGAGAGAGAGAGAGAGAATGTGTGTGTGTGTGTGTGTATGTGTATAAGTGAGGGAGTTGGCGAGGGAGGGAGGGATGAAGATGAAGTTGGAGAAGAGCAGGCAGTCAGGCACCTGGCACGCTCTGTTGCTCTCCCGGAAGGCGGGGGGGGGAGGGGGGGAGATTGGTGCACTTGAATTTTTGCTTCCAATTTCGAATACAGTATGTACTGTATTGTACTATACTGTATCATTAGATACTCGATAACCTAATATGTCATGTTCTATCCAAGTTAACGAGCTCTTATATCATAGACAAGCCCAGTACTTAGATTGTTTTTCTCTGTTGAATTTTCTTCTCCCTCCTTCCTCCCTTCCTGAAATCATGAATCAACTTCAAGCGCGTTGCCAGGACAGGCCTAATCTGCTTGTGCGCGCTGCAATCAAAGTCAATGTGCCCGCTAGAATGGCACTCCCCATGAACATCTGTGCGTATAGATATTGTCCGCCGTCTCGATCTACCAGAGCTCCCGCGATAGGGGGGCCAATAAGGGCGGCCACTGCCACTACACTCAACACCATCCCCATGCGAACTCCTGCCTTTTTCAAGTCGGTGGTCAATGTACTTAATGTGGCAGGAAACAAGGATTGGATGCCGGCCGCTGCAAGCCCATAGAAGGCACTGAAAGCGTACAGACCGTTATAGCTCCCTACCACCGCCCAGCAGTAGGCCACTACTCCAGTTATCAGGCTGAAAGGGATGAGCATATTCAACGGGCCTGTGTACCAGTCCGCCAGTAGGTTGGGGATCAAGCGACCCACCAGGCCTACCCCATTCATCACCAGAAGCACATCAATCGAGGTAGACTCAGAGACGCGGACGATTTCTTGCGCAAAGCTGCTGATATAGAAGAACCCCACGTAGAGACCCCAAAAGTTCAGGAACATTCCCAGCGCAAAGAGCGCATAGGAAGTCTCCCGGAAGGCGGTTAACTCGATCAGTGGTCCACTACGACGGGGTGGCAGCCTTTGCTGAAGAAAGATCAAGCAAGGTGTCAACGTAGCTAGCGAAATGAAGCCCAACGTTCGCACCGTCCATCCGTACCCAATCTGGGGTAGAAGCCGCATGACCACCGCCGGAAAGACCAGCCCTCCTGTGGCCGATCCCGAGGCTGTTATGCCAATCGCGATGGCTCGTTTCTTAGTAAAATACGTCGGAATCAGAGCAATAGTCGGGCAAAACATGAGCCCGCAGCCAATCCCCTGGCCGACCCCCTGTGCCAGAAACAGTTGCCAGTACTGAGTGCACAGGGAAGTCATAAAGATGCAAAATAGCTCGAGTATAGCCCCGAGAATCAGGATGACTTTGAAGTATCCGGCGTCGGTGGCACGTCCCGAGAAAGTCCCAATAAAGAACAGTAGAAAGATCTGAATACTGCCAACCCAGGATATATCAGAGGGCGGTCGCTTCAGGGTCTGGGTATAGTAGTCTTGAAAGACGCCAAAGCTATTGATATAGCCCCAGGTATTGAAGATAACAAAATGGGCAAGGCCCACCTGGAACCATGCCCTGAAGCCGCCGTCCGGAGGGGGCCCCGAATCCTTGCCTGATTCCCTCGTCCGAACGAGCGTCAAACTTCGAGTGGTCAAGGCCTCGAAATGGCTCACATTTGTTGGGGTCTGGGACAGCTCCTTCGGCCGTGGGGTGTCGATAACATCTTCCTCACCATCTCCCACGTGATCTCTAGATTCTCTATAGAGAACATTGGAGTTCTCCTCGGAGGGGGCTCCATGCGCTGGACTGACTGGATCGACGCTGCACGGTAGCTGTGAGGTTGTCTTCATAGCCGTTCGATACCCGTGGGGATGTTCTAATCGACAATAAATATGATTCAGGTTCACAATCTGTTATCGGACTCTCCTAGAAGGCTGGCGAAGCACAAGACACCACGTCCGTGAAGGGCAGAAACATCATAAGAGGATGCGAACTTGGACCAGAAGAGACATGCCCGTCAGAGTAGGAGGGGTAAACCAGTCAGTTCAGTGCGGGCGCGGAGTATAGGCCGAAAAACCCCGGATTGTGGAGAACAGCGCGTCTTTCCCTGCCGGGTTTCTAGGTTTCGCACAGAAGACCGAATTGGGCCAAGACAACATGAACGGCATGATTCCTCGGCTATTCAGCGTCGACTCGTAATGGTTTTTAAGACTGCATTCTGTGTTCTCTCTAAATTCTTCGGAGCGCACGATACTTTTAGACAACGATAGAAGGATATGAAGGGGCAGCGCGTCATCTTCGCTTTGGCCATCTATAAAGCAGTTCAAGAAGGAAATAGTATCAACGGCTATTAGATTCGAAAGCGAAGAGAAAACGGGCCCTCTGTCAGAGATGCCGCAGAAGAAGAACTCGAGAAAGTTCCTCTCAATGGCTGAAGAGCGCCCTCTTCCCAATCGCCTTGAGCTCTAACAAATCAATCACCATCGCTGCCCCGCATCAACGCCCCGGGACGAAACATGGAGTTATATAAGCATGAAAGCGAAGCTAAAGTCTAGATGAAATGAAAAATAATAATAGGGGAAGAAAATGTGGGGCTGCATCCCGGTCATGAAAGGCGCGTGGAGTGTTTTAGTAGTCTTGAGAGCAAGAGCTGTTGTTCAACATCGAGATCGTTTCAATCACATCCGCTGGTTCGAGAAGATGCCAGCTGGCGGCTGTCTGCTTTGAGCTTGCCCCAACAGTGACGGAGTAAACGTGATCTTGTGGCAAGTCGAATCCCTGCAGTGCACGAAACATGTCTGAGAACGAAGAGTGCAGTCAGCAACCGAGTATTTGCTGAGATTGGTGGCGGCAGGGGGGGTGGGGGACATACCTTCATCTGTGAAATCGTCTCCTGAGCAGAAGATAAACTCGGGTGCATCTCCTGGCTCATTTCCGTACTCGTTGACCAAGCGAGTGGCAATGAAGCCCTTGTTCACAAAAGTCGGCCGGACCTCCAAGTTGGCCTTACCAGACATAACTTCCACTTCCCACCGCTTGGCTACGGTATCTTCAAGCGCCTTCCGGCACTCGCGAGCTTGGAATGCACCATATTCAGGATCGGCGCGCCGGTAGTGCCACGTGAGAGCGACCCGCTTTCTTTCTATGAAGGAGCCTTGAGTTCGTTCAGTGAAGTGTTGGAATGTTTCCATGACCTCCTTTTGCCAACCCATGTTGCTTCGCTCGGCCAGATTTTCCCAGTCGTCGGAATGAGGCTTCCTAATAAAACATCCATGCTCGGCACTTAGACCTAATTCAGGAATATGGCCCATCCACTCATCCAAGAAAGCCTGATCACGGCCACTGATGATCCATACTGCATTCCGTGGATCGGCCGCGAGAGTCTTGAGAGTGCGGAGAACGCGGTCAGATGGAATAGCTGCTTGTGGGTCCTTCACAATCGGAGTAAGGGTCCCATCATAATCGAACATGAACAACCTCTTACGAGCTCTGCGATACTGCTTCAATAGTTTGAGTCTATCGAGAGCTGGCGTTGCCACTGACTGATCAAAGGAAGATAAATTCGTGAGCAGACGGGTGAGGAATTGCTTAGACCAGGCCGAGACGGTGTTGGCAGTGACATGCTTGTATAGTCTCTGCTGTTGTGATGCTTTCTCCTCAGGGGACATGCAGAGAGCTTTATTGATCGCGCCCGCAACTCCCACCGTATCCCATGGGTTAATATGAATTGCATTGGAGAGTGTTCCCGCAGTACCTGAGAACTCAGATAGTATCAAAGGGCCATTGTTGTTCTGCTGGCAGATGATATATTCAAGACTGGTCGTATTCATCCCATCCCGAACCGTCGTGATCAGGCCCACGTCGGCCACTCGCAGCAATGCAAAATACTCGTGCGGGGAAAGGTACTGCGGATAATATTTGACGGGTGAAAAGCTCAGAGATCCGAATCGCCCATTGATGGTAGAGACTAGATTCGAGATCTGGCTAGCAATCTTGTTTTCTTCCTTCTGCTCGTCGACGCTAGTGGGGCTGGTCACCTGGATCAAAACCACCTTATCACGCCATTCCGGGTACTTTTCGAGAAAGACTTCGAAGGATTGCAGCTTCTGTGCTACACCTCGGACACTGTCCAATCGATCGCGACCAACAATGATTTTTTTGCCGGCGTACAGCTTGCGAATTCCCAACACCGCTTGTTCTATCTCGGTGGAGTCAAAGGCTGCTCGTTGAATAGCACTGGTATCGATACCGATGGGAAACACGTCAACAGCCACATGGGCACCGTATGCGTCGACTCCAGCTGAATTAGAGTCGAATCCCAAGACACGGGTACAGCAGGACGAAAAATGACGGGAATAGGAGAAGGTTTGGAAACCGATCATATTCGCACCGAGGACTCCAGTGAGCACCTCCTTTCTCTTGGCGAGACAGCGCATGAATTCGCTGCTAGGGAATGGTGCGTGTAAGAAGAATCCGATGTAGACGTTAGGGATGCGCTGGCGTAACATGCTCGGCAGAAGGAAAAGATGATAGTCATGAATCCAGACAATGTCACCCTCCTTGTATTCCTTCACAATACGATCCGCAAAAAGCCGGTTCATACGGACATAGTCGGCCCACCACGTGCGCTCTGACCTTCCATCCGTAGGACCATGCTGCTTGTAATGAAGTAGGGGGTATAATTCCCTCTCGGCATAACGTCTCCACCGTCCTTGGTCTTCCAAGAGGATGGGTTCTTCGGGGACATCCGACTCAGCCGACAGCCACACAGGGGCGATTTTACCATAGCGAGTGGAGCTCATTTGCCTATCGAGTTGATCTCGATCGGCTTGCCCTACCCGGAGTCCTTCCAGGAGAGGGTGACTTGGCAGCCGTTGGTTAGCATCGACGGGCACTGGAGCTGCTGCTTTGTTCAAAGGTATGGTGGACCCGTTTACGGCCGTAGGGAATTTGGCACTGGTGTTGATAGGGATCTGTTGCAGAGGTGCCGTCGTCTCTTGGGCTGGTTCTACCTCACCAGTCCAGCCAACGAGGGTGTGAGACCATTTCGAGTCCTGAGAGCCGAGATAGGCCAGAGAGTCAAACAGGGCAGATGTTCCGGGGCGCGGTTTCAATTCCTGAAGCCAAGTCAGCTGGGTTTCGGAGTGTAGAGATAGCGTCCACCCAAAAGTAGATATGCGAGTTGATGGTTGGAGGGCTGACATACCCAGTCTGAACCGGATCGCATGTAGAGTTTGTACGGAACACAGAAGGCAGCACTAATAATTCGACCGGTGAGGTGCAAGCCCGGGTACTGCTCACGGGGATCCATGTCTGACAACGTGGGCGTGCCAACCAGACTTAATCGACGCAGTAATTCACGTCCTGATTTTGCTTCTCTAGCCGCCTGAGCAGGCGTGGAAGGAGAGGCAACGGACGAAGTGGCGGCCGGTGAGTTGGTCGCGACGTCGGAGAAGTAAGAAGGACCATCGGAGACGACGAACTGTTTCGATTCAACTGCCAGGTCTGGTGTGGCATTGGATGCTTGTAAGAAAGCGTCTTCGCCCAGAACACTCAGGCCCGACCCAATGGGGCCCGGATTGGGCTCGTCATCGGGCAAGTTGGTGGAAGCCCGGTGTTCGGAGGCCATGATGACGGAAGCGGACAGGAACGGGAGACACGACGGATGCTGGAATGATTTCCCGGATTAGTGCCCGCCCAATGCGTTTTTCTTCTACTTTGGGAAGAATGAGGGAGGAGATGGAAATGAGCTCTGTTATTTTCACCCAGATGCGGTGATAAATATAGAATGAAGCAAAGCAGAAGGGAGGAGGAGGAGGAGGAGGAGGAGGGGGGGGCAGGGGGATACGATGAGTTAAGTTTGTAGGAGGAAGAGGGGTCGAGTTACCCTGGGAGGGGAAAAGATAAGCTAAAAGTAGTAACGGTGGGTTGTTGGTGTTGTGGGGAGACCGGCGATAAAGTTGCGAATTAGGCCATGAAAGCTGGCAGGAAAGTGGAAATAACAGAAAATAAGAACAGCAAAAAACAATCAAATCGAGTTCACCGAGAAGTAGCAGAAGAGAGATTGAGGATGAGGAAAATGAGGAAGAAGAGAGGAAGAGGAAGAGGAGAAAAGGAAACTATGAAATGGAAGGAGAGAAAGCAGAGTTCACTTTGAAGAGACCGGCGCGAAGGCTTTGGAGCCTGAGGCGGTGAGGTGCGCGGGGGTTACGTATTGGGGAGTTGGGATCTTTCCTGGGCAGACTACGTATGTACATACCCCACTGGGTACTCGCTCGATGAATGAAGATGACGATGAATGACCGACTTTATTGCCAAAGGCAAGAGCTTTTCAAAAGGGAGACGAAGCAAAAGTCATATTAATCTTATAGCCAGCATCTTCATAGTCCACCCCCTCTTTCTCCCAATCAGGTTCTTGTTGTGACAAGCGAATTAACTGAACCTAGCCAGACTCCCAATTCAAGAAAAAGAGCCTGTCGCAATGTACAATAGTTACTGAGTAGAACTGAGTGGAAACATCAAACAGAAAAAAGGTAAATTCATCGGATTGCTTCGACGACACCTGCAAAATGTGGGAGCGCTCAAGCAAAGCCAACAAGCAATCAGCTGGCCCGGTGACCATCGGAAGGTGGTTTGCTACCACCAGCTTCTAACCTCCAATCCTTCCTGCACGAGTGAGGTAGAAAGACGGAGAAGGGTAAAGAGACCCAGGGAAGAATAGGAGGCATGGCATGGGATGGGCCGAAAAGGTTCCAGGCTCCGCGGGGCTGGCAACTCGAAAGGGAAAGAAACCATATAACGGGTGGAGAATATAGAGGAGAAGAACAAAACGGGGAAAGGCAGAGAGAGGGAAAAAGCGCGCGCGAAAAGAAAGAAAGAGGGAGAGAGAGAGGAACCGGTTCAGTCTCCGAAGCCTGCTGGAAAAGATGAGGGATTGGTGATGCATTCGAGAGAGACATGCGAGACATCGCGGCCGGGAAATTGGCCCGACGCACAGAAGATTCCCCCTACCAGGATGGTTGATCGGGAGAAAACCGGAGTCAGAGGACAAGAGAGAATGGAATCGACCTTCGAGCCCTCGAGACAAGAGCACGAAACCACCCCACTTTGGAAAACCGCCCACTTTTCCTCCTCCCCCTTGACGTCATGATCCGAAGCTGCAGGTAGACCTGAGGGTAAATCGGTACGTAGGTTTGATTGGACTGATAACTCGAGGAGAGAGATAGATGCCAGACCGGAGCGCTGGTGCCGGACATCTCTTAACTGCGACCCAAGCACAGTCACTCGACGGCAGACGTTAGGTACCATGGCCGCGTTGTTGTCTCATGTCCCTTGTCCCTGAATGAGCCTATTGTCGATGCACATCGAGAATGGTCGGGCATGCTGTGCAGGGTCTCGTGTCCCGTGTAGGAACCCGACGATCGATCCCGGTTATTTTCCATGGATATAGCCTCCCTGACCTGACTTGCCTTGATAAGGTTGAGACATAGTGAATACTGAGTAGTACCTTCCTTTTCAGTGGGGTCCTGGTACTACTCAGTCTTATGGATGTACACAATATGAATGATGGATGGAAGAGCATCATGACCGGCCCTACCTACTATTACGTATTATTGACTGGGGAAGAAGGGAAGCCCCAGGCGGACTCAGGAACAAAAATAGTCCTTACCCGATCTGGAACGGGTGAGTGACATCCATGATGTGAACCTGAAAAACTCAGGATTGATTCGCATAAGGTTAATTGAAAGATACATGGTATGGTGCTGACTCATCTATGCAATATGTACAGTCCCGTGACGAGGGCATGATGTACATGAATTTCCCTCATCATGGTTTCCCCATAAGAGTAATTTATTTACACTTATTGATGCTCGACCATGACAAGCTTCCCGCAACGAAAATCACTTCTTTCACGCAACTATGCGTCTTGGTACACCTCTCCGCTGACAATCCCCTGTCGACGTTTGCATCAGACTGTCGACTGCAGGAGAGACAATGGTGCGATTGTTCCGGATAGCCTGGAGAAAACTCTGGATGCGCACCGCGACGCCAACCGCGCAAGTTTGATTCGCAGAGTTTATACCGGGGATTCAAGTCCGGTTCGCAAGGTCCCAAGCACCGTCAAGAGCGGATCTCGGCCCAGTCGTCCACAAAGTCATACTACCAGTCATGGAGAATCCTTGAAACCATTACCTCCTAGTGCTGAATCGATTACAGCAGCCTCAATAACCTCCTCTCCTACTCAGGGCACGAGCCTACGCTTCGGCGCGTTACGCATTCCACGATTACGTGCCGTTTGGTTAAAGAACCTGGAGGATCCGAATAAACCACAATGCTTTCAAGATGGTGGCTCGCAACTCAGTGCGGAGATTCGAGCGTTAGGGGACTACATCATGCCGACTGCCGTCGAGGAGGAACAGGCTCAGCAGATTCTTGCAGAGATTTCTCAGTTGCTCGAAGGGGTCGTGTCGCATCCGCTACAGTGGTCAGGGGCTCGGAGCCTCGGACTCGGGACGACTTTGTCTGCCATGCCTATTCGTCTGCTCGTTCCTGACCCCAGTCGCTCAGGACAAGTACGAGAACCGAGTCCCACCCGGCCATATATGGTCAGCCAATACGCAGACCTCCTGAGAAAGGTCGAAAATGAACTTCAGCGTCATCCGTCCTATGTAGTACTGCGCCACACCTCGGCAAATGTTAAGTCAAATCAAGCTGGCATCCTCGACGTACGCCACCGTGAAACCCGTCTCAGGCTGTCGTTCCACTGTGGTGAGAAATACGACAACCTGTATGAACATATAAAGAATTGGCAGGCGGAATATCCATCGTTCCGGTATTTGTTTGTGGCAAGTCGCCTTATCTTGCAAAGTAATATCTTATATGGTAAAACCGGTGCAGGGATCACCCACCCTGCGCTCGCCGTTCTCCTCGCAAACTTCTTGAAGATGAGCCATGGCCGGTTTCTCGGAAACAATGACTTGGGTGAGCAACTTCTCGCCTTCTTGCACAAGTTCGGACTAGAGGTCGACCTCCAGAAGTCCGGGGTCGCCGCTGACCCTCCTGCTATCTTCGACCGGCGCATGATAAGAAGAGCCTATCAAGAGCATGGTGCCAAAGCCAATTGGCCCGTTCACCTTCGTGGTCAATTTTCCCTCCTGAATCAAAGGAAAACTGCCCTGGAGAGGGGCAACTTCGCCTTAGCACAGCGACTATGTGTTCAGGACCCCACACATTATATGGTGGACATAGGCGTGCCATGTCTGCACACGGCGTTCGTACAAATGACTTTCAGGGACGCATACCAAGTGCTCCGCACCCGCCTTGCGAAATGGTCGGGGGGGCCCGTCACTTCAACCAGGAATCTTCTGGGCTCTGTCATCCGAACACCTTTCGACAAGACTGAACAGATGCGCGATCTTCTCGCATCTAGAAAAGAGCTCTCACCCCATCGCAGCAACTAAACTCTCACTTCACTTGTGTACCTTGTACGCTTGGCTGGAGCCCAGGGGAATTTATAATAACCTGCTTTCATCGTTTACAATAGGCATTTTCATTTGTTGTTTGTGTCTACACATGGACAACTCCAGATGCATCCGCTTTGTTACCAAGTAGCACGGGACGAGATATCATAGGTGAATTGAGAAGTATTATCGTAGAAGAAGGCTCGCTTGCTTAGGTATGCATAGAAGTGTATGTCACCTAATCCAGTGGTCCGTCTTGATATCGTGATGGGTATATATACATGTCGAGGGAGAGCATCTGCAAAAAGTACCGGATGGTAGCGGAGGTTCAGAAAGGCCCAGGGCCATGGAAAGCCGTTTCGAAAACAGAAGGAAGAAGCAGGAAGCGTTGAGGAATCGTGCTAGTTGCTGTTTGACAGTTAGAGGATAGCCATAGCCGTAAGTCGAGAGCAGAGAAAGGGACACGCACTAGATCTCCAGTGGAGATATTTGGTCTAATGTGTAGAGCCAGTTCCCGCCTTGTTCTTCTTTTTCAAGCCTGTGTTCGAATTAGCAGGGTCAGCGAATTCGGAAGATAACTGTTTTGGGGATCGTGAAGCACTAACCAGTCGTAAGGCCAGAGAATAAGATGACCCTGAACCTGATTTAACAAGTCTTCCGCTCGCTGTTTGTCCATCACTTCATCCGCATGGAAGTCACGCTTCGACCCGAGCGTTGTTGCTCGTCGTCTCCGCCGCCGAGACTGACCGGTAGCGTTTCTGTTTAATGCGTCAGAATAATCGATGGCCGGGCGATCTGACCGGTGTTTCTCGACATCCTCTCCAGAGGAGCCGCTATCCTCAGTCCGTCCATTTTGCACCCGCCGGGATGCTGAGCCGTCGGCTGCATTTAGGGCAGACTTTTCATCGATAGGCGACAGTCCTTCGTGATTCGCCATCTCATGTGGTTGCTCGTTCGGGCCCTGTACCGATCCACTCTCACAGTTCCCTGGTTTTTCGACGGTGGTTTGCTCTTTGCGTTCCACCTTATGGGCCTCGGTACCGTGGCTGTGTGATGCTACACTGTGCTTGATGCCGGCGGCTGCTCCAGGGAAGCCGGCAGCTGTGCCTGGGGGCCCAGTTTGTCGTTGACTCGAAGGCTGCTGAACCTTGGCACCGTGTTGGTTCTGCATTTCAGCAAAACGA